GGCAGGCGAATCACTTGAAGCCAGGAGTTTGAGACCAGCTTGGCCAAGACGGTGAAACCAGTCTCTGGTAAAAATACAAAAATTAGCTGGGTGGTAGTGGCGCGCGCCTGTAATCCCAGCTACACAGGAGGCTGAGGCAGGAGAATTGTTTGAGCCTGGGACGGGGAGGCTGCAGTGAGCCAAGATCTGGACACTGCTCTCCAGTCTGGGCAAGACAGTAAGAATCTCTCCTTAAAAAAAAAAAAAATTAGGCCGGGCGCGGTGGCTCACATCTATAATCCCAGCACTTTGGGAGGCCGAGGCGGGTGGATCACGAGGTCAAGAGATTGAGACCATCCTGATCAACGTGGTGAAACCCCGTCTCTACTAAAAAGACAAAAATTAGCTGGGCATGGTGGCACGTGCCTGTAATCCCAGCTACTTTGGAGGCTGAGGCAGGAGAATTGCTTGAACCCAGAAGGCGGAGGTTGTGGTGAGCCGAGATCGCGCCATTGCACTCCAGTCTGGGTAACAAGAGCGAAACTCCGTCTCAAAAAAAAAATTAGCTGGGCATGGTGGTGCATGCCTGTACTCCCAGCTACTCGGGAAGGGCTGAGGCAGGAGAATTGCTTGAACCCAGAAGGCGGAGGTTGTGGTGAGCCGAGATCGCGCCATTGCCCTCCAGCCTGGGTAACAAAAGCGAAACTCCATCTCAAAAAATAAATAATTTTTTTTTAAAAAGGCTGGGCTCAGTGGCTCAAACCTGTAATTCCAGCACTTTTGGAGGCTGAGGCAGGTGGATAATGAGATCAGGAGTTCAAGACCAGACTGGCCAACATGGTGAAACCCCATCTCTACTAAAAAATACAAAAATTAGCTGGGCATGGTGGCTAGTGCCTGTAATCCCACCTACTTGGGAAGCTGAGGTAGGAGAATTGCTCGAATCGGGACCGGGGAGGCAGAGGTTGCAGTGAGCCATGATCACACCACTGTACTCCAGCCTGGGCTACAGAGCGAGGCTCCATCTCAAAACAAAAGTTGTTGTTCTAAAATGGATATGAGTATCCCCACCAGTCACATGGCATCTCCCAACACTTCTCGTTGGTTTCTCATTCACCCCTCTTTCTTCTTTCCTCATTCTTTTGGGGCTGCTCCCAGGCACTCTGCCTGCCTTCTGCATTCCTTTCTCCCCAGGGCTGTTACAGAGCAGGACCAAAGGAATCTGCATTTTATAAGTCTGCATTGAAAAACAAATGAGGCTAGCCACTTTTTTAGAAACAGATTTTTCTTTTCTTTTTTTTTTTGAGACAAAGTCTCACTCTGTTGCCAGGTGCCAGGCTGGAGTGCAGTGGCACAATCTTGGCTCACTGCAACCTCCACCTCCCGGGTTCAAGCAATTCTCCTGCCTCAGCCTCCCAAGTAGCTGGGACTACAGGCACACGCCACCACACCTAGCTAGTTTTTGTATTTTTAGTAGAGACGGGGTTTCACCACGTTGGCCAGAATGGTCTCCATCTCTTGACCTGGTGATCTGCCCGCCTCGTCCTCCCAATGTGCTGGGATTACAGGCTTGAGCCACCGAGCCTGTCCTAAAAACTGATTTTCAATCAGGACTGATAGCCTATTACCAGGTCATCACCTGTTTTTGCACAGCCTGAGATATAAAAATCATTTTTACATTTTTAAATGCTTGAAAAAAATTTGATAATTATTCCATGATACATGAAAATTATATAAAATTCACATTTTAGTGTCCATACGTTTTTCTTTTGAGTAGTTTTGCTCTTGTTGCCCAGGCTGGAGTGCAATAGCGTAATTCCGTCTCACTGCAACCTCCGCCTCCCAGGTTCAAGCGATTCTCCTGCCTGAGCTTCCTGAGTAGGTGGGAGTACAGGTACACGCCACCACACTTGGCTACTTTGTATTGTTAGTAGAGATGGAGTTTCTTCATGTTGGTCGGGCTGGTCTTGAACTCCTCACCTCAGGTGATCCACCCACCTCAGCCTCCCAAAATGTTGGGATTACAGGCGTGAGCCACCACACCTGGCCCATAAAAGAAGTTTCATGGGAACACAGCCATGCTCATTCATTGTCTATGGGTGCTTTCTAAATACAACTGCAGAGTGGTATCATTGTATACCTAAAAAATGTATTCTCTAGTCCTTTACAGAAAGTACGCCAACCCTGATCTAGAATACCCCATTAAAATCGACCATAGACAGCTCTTGGTTGAGGTACGGCAAAGTGATTTGCAGACCCTGCTATATTGTATTTCCAAACTTTGCAGAATACATATTACCACGGTTTTTAAAATGAGAAAACTGAGGATGACATAAAACTTTGCCAGGAGTCTGGAATTAAACATGGTCTGCCTGACTTGGAAACTACTATTTTCCAGTGCACAACGCCTGCCCCCCTTAAATCTCTGAGGGGTACTATGTTCTGAATTATATAAGCAGTATCCATCCATTGGTCCTAATTTTCTCCCTTCAGTCCATTATACAGCATATCTAGACTATAATTTTGTTTTGTCTGAGTATTCTCTGGGATGCAGATTCTTTTTTTTTTTTTTTTTGAGACAGAGTTTCGCTCTTGTTACCCAGGCTGGAGTGCAATGGCGCGATCTCGGCTCACCACAACCTCCGCCTCCTGGGTTCTGGCAATTCTCCTGCCTCAGCCTCCCGAGTAGCCAGGATTACAGGCACATGCCACCACACCCAGCTAATATTTTTTATTTTTAGTAGAGACAGGGTTTCACCATGTTGACCAGGATGGTCTCGATCTCTTGACCTCGTGATCCACCAGCCTCGGCCTCCCAAAGTGCTGGGATTACAAGCTTGAGCCACCGCGCCCAGCCCGATGCTGATTCTTTCAGAAGTTTCTACATGACAAAATTTTAGGTCCTTTTGTCATCCAGATCACTCCTCTGAATATATTCATTTGTTGATAATGCTCTTCAAGTTTTGCACTTAAGACAGAACATGATACAGGGGTAGGGTGCCATCAGCAGAGTGTCTCCCTAGTTCTAAAAATTCTGTATCTTTCCTACCTATCTATGAAGAGTTGACTTTTGAACCCAAAGGCAGAATCTGACTTATTACTACTGAATTTCAATTCAATAAAATTTAATAAGCTGGAGTTTACCATGACTATGGAGATCTTTTTGAATCCTCATTTTGCACACTGACGAAGTTACAATTCCTTGTAACGCCTTGTCATCCACAAATATAATATGCATGCCTTCTGTTTTTCACCCAGGTCACTGGCAAAACTGCACTAAGTTTTATCCTTTATTTCAGAAGGTGGCACTCACGGGCCCTCCATTTCATCAAGAGCCTCATACTTACATGCCTCACTCTGCCCAGAGTCTATCTGTTGGGATAGCAGACTCAGTGAGATTTTGTCACACTTTGGCAGAAACCCCAGGTCAGATGTCATTTTTTTTTTGAGACTGAGTCTCACTCACCCGGGCTGAAGTGCAGGGTTGCCATCTCTACTCACTGTGATGTCTGCCTCCCAGGTTCAAGCAATTTTGCCTCTGCCTTAGCCTCTAGGATAGCTGCAATTACAGGCATGTACCACCACCACCCCTGGCTAATTTTTGAATTCTTCATAGAGACAAGTTTTCACCATGTTGGTCAGGCTGGTCTTGAACTCCTGACCTCAAGTGATCTGCCTCCCTCAGAATCTCAAAGTGCTGGAATTACAGGTATGAGCCACCATGCCCAGCCCCAACATTACTTTAAAGTCTTCTCTCAAATCCCCATACCCACCTCTACAAAAAGCTACCTTGTTTCCAGCTCCTCCTCCTGCATTCTTCTCCATTCTGGGTCACTGTGAGTAAGGTATAGGTTACCCAACCTCCCCTCCCCAGTGTCCTAATCCCAGACCTGCCATTTGCCTGGTACTGGTTGTGTGAACTTGGGCAAATTCCTTAGCATTTCTTTGGCTCTCTTCCCCATCTGAGAAACAGAGATAGTAATAGTATGTACTAAGTAAGTTAATGGATGAAAGTGGTAAGAAAAAATGTTCTGTTTTATATCAGATTTTCATAGCTACTACCAGAGAAGGGGTAATAAGCTGGAAAAGCTAATTAGTTTTTAATGCACATTGTAGTTTTTCTTCATCTGCTTTATTAAGCTGTCCTCATGCCCCATGAAACATACTGTCCCTCATTTAGAAACAGACTAACTCCATTTTCCTCCACTATCCCCTCCCCTGTCCTTGATCTGTAGATCCTGTTAAGACAGAAAAAACACTGTTGGTCAAAGGGTACGTGCTTTCTGTTACAAGATGGACAAGTTCTGAGTATAAGATAGAACATGGGAAGGGATGTGTCCATCGACCATGGCAATCACCACGCAAACGTAAATGCATTTCCAATCATGTTGTAGACTTTGAAGAAAATGTAAAAATGGCAGAACAACAAACACATCCTTAACACTCAATCATTTTATCCCAGATTATGCTGAGTTTATGTCTCAGGTGAAACACCCAAATCCATGAAACTGCTCTCATTTCTGTCCCCTAAATGTCACTTTAACATAGGAAATGCCAGGCGCGGTGTCTCACTCCTGTAATCCCAGCACTTTGGGAGGCCGAGGCGGGTGGATCACAATGTCAAGAGATCGAGACCATCCTGGTCAACAAGGTGAAACCCCGTCTCTACTAAAAATACAAAAATTAGCTGTGCATGGTGGCGCGCGCCTGTAGTCCCAGCTACTCGGGAGGCTGAGGCAGGAGAATTGCTTGAACCCAGAAGGCAGAGGTTGCGGTGAGCTGAGATCGTGCCATTGCACTCCAGTCTGGGTAACAACAGTGAAACTCTGTCTCAAAAAAAAAAAAATTGGAAATGTCCATTTTGGGGTTATTCACATTCAAACATTAAAATGTAAATATCAAGGTGATGGAAGCATATCCTCATCTCTTAACTAACAAGGCTACCAGGAATATGTTAAATGTCCCAGTCACTCTAGGAGTCCCAATTCTCGTAAGGTAAGAACTTCAGGATTTAAACAAACTCAATGTGAAAAATAAACATTTATTACAAAAATTAGTTTTGACATTTTAAAGTGAAAGCAGACAAGGTGTTTTCCAGTTCAAAAGGTCTGTTGGAAGTTAGAGAGGTAAATTCCAAGGCTGGTAATAACTGACTCATATTCTTCACAAGTAGCCTAGACAATAAGGAACCATTCATCTCAAATTCACAGGAGCCATGAATCACCTCTGCCTCCCCATGGCCTTTTCTCCATATCCCTCTTACTCCAACCATGATACAGTACTGAAACATACTTTAAAAAATTCATCCTTGGCCGGGCGCAGTGGCTCACACCTGTAATTCCAGCACTTTGGGAGGCTGAGGCAGGCAGATCATGTCAGGAATTCTAGACCAGCCTGACCAACATGGTGAAACTCCATCTCCACTAAAAATACAAATTAGCTGGGCATGGTGACACTCGCCTGTCATCCCAGCTACCCAGGAGACTGAGGCAGGAGAATCACTTGAACCCGGGAGGCAGAGGTTGCAGTGAGCCGAGATTGTGCCACTGCACTCCAGCCTAGGAGACAGAGTGAAACTCCATCTCAAAAAATTTAAAAAAAAAATCTCATCCTTACTGAACCATTTCATAAGCTCTACTTTGTCTAGTCAGATTTCATTTCCTCTGGAAAATTTATTTTTTATTAGCATGTGACCCTTAACTGACAGCTTCACATTAGTATTTTTTCTTTTTGGATCCTTAATAAAAAACTCAATTCTGTTAGGGATTTCCAGACAGGATAGGGCAAAGTGGCACTTAGTATCCTCCACAGAAATAAAGAAGCAAAATCACCCAAGAGGGCCCTTTATTTGCCCTCTTGCTAAGTTAATAAATAGACTGGGGGAATGGTAGTAGACAGAGAAACAAAAATGTAAAGGCAGAAAAGGGTCCAAATGGGGAGGAGGAAAGCAATGACAGCCAGTCCTGTCCTGCTCGTTCCTGTTCATTCACATGCAGACCACCCAAATTTCTTCTGAACTCCACCCCACTAAATATAGCAGCGGTTACTACTTTCAACCACTACTAAAGCAGCTGTTCTCCAAATGACCTGAGAAATCCCCGCCTCAGCTCTGGGACAGTTGTTCCTAGAGCCGTAGGGAGGTCTGTCAATGCACCTGGCTGGGCAGGAGGTAGAAGGGTGAGTACTTTCTCCTGTCACTTGGTGGAACAGGCCAAGAAGATCCCACAAGTACAGCATCAGCTTCACCCTGGGCACCTTCCTCCAGCAGAGGAAGGCCTGGCCACAAGAGGGCTCTGGAATGAGGGCCTGAAATTCAGAAGCTCTGCCTTGAGATAAGAACCAGGAAGGGGCAGGACCAGGCACAGGGAACCAGCCCCAGGTTGCTGGGAAGCACGGCTTTGAAGCATTTTCCTGTTGTACACAGGAGCCCAGGAACCCTCAAAGACCTTTTCCCCTACTTACTTCCTACAAAAAGCAGCCTTGACAAATCAAGCTTTTATTTCCAGCAACATCCAGCTGATACAAACACATAGAAATACAATCTCACCAAAGAGCTAAGAAGCCCTCCAGCACACACTCAATTTCAGCAAACAGCTAAGACCACTACAGACATCTCCACAGCATCACAGGCACATCTCAAAAGGGTCTGTCCAGGAGTTCCAGTCAAGGGAAGGGTGATGGCCTGACCCACTAGCTCCAGCTTTTTTTTTTTTTTGGGGGGAGACAAAGTTTCACTCTTGTTGCCCAGGCTGGAGTGCAATGGCAAGATCTCGGTTCACCACAACCTCCATGTCCCAGGTTCAAGCAATTCTCCTGCCTCAGCCTCCTGAGTAGCTGGGATTACAGGCATGCGCCACCATGCCCGGCTAATTTTGTATTTTTAGTAGAGACGGAATTTCTTCATGTTGATCAGGCTGCTCTCAAACTCCTGACCTCAGGTGATCCGCCTGCCTTGGCCTCCCAAAGTGCCGAGGATTACACGCTTGAGCCACCTTGCCCGGCCTCCAACTTTCTTTTCTTTAGAGCAGTGGTTTTAAACCTTTTTCGCTTCACATTCTACATTCTCTGAAAATTTACTATGCTCTCCACAACAAGAGCTCCCATTTTCCATGGACAGTCAGTATCTGTCTGCTTGTATTCAGGAGGAGGACTGGGCGGAGGGATTCCAGCAGCACTTCCCATGGGAAGCCAGAAGAGAATGGACCCCAGAGATGGAGGGACCCCAGTGTCATCACCAAACAACCATTTCAGCCATTCTAGCCTCTGCCCCCGCTCTAGAACAGCTGGCACTGGAAATGAGGAAAGAGCCCAGAACCAGGTTGAAGATCCCTATTCAAAGGCTCCTGCAGGCCAGGTGGTCAGTTGAGTGTAGATTCCTGGGAGCCACGCCATTTTTGCTGTCTACTTAGAAGGGACATCAATAGCATACCCAGGATTCCTGCCTGATCCCTCATAGAAATGGGGAATAAACACTTTAAACAAGTTCCAGGCCACTCAGCAGTCGTAGGAAAGGCAGGGAGTGCATGAAGGAGGAAGGGCACATAGCTGACATTATTAAAAATACATCCTAAGAAGTGGGGGGCCCTGTGGGGTGTAGAAGACAAATAAGGCATCCTGTGAATCTATAGACCTCAGGGGCCAGAGTCTGGTAGCACCTGAGTAAGGCAAGTGCAGATGACAGACGGAGAGCCCGAGCAGGCTCACACCAGGAACGACGAGGTCTGTTTGAATTCCCCCTGCAGAAACAAAACCATCCAGTCAACTCTCAATAGTCTTCTTTAGCTGATAATCCTCAAAACACATAAACACAGGCTAGAAATCTCCTCACTCCAGCCCCAGGTGGCCCACCCCTGCCCTGGCCAGGCATACTCACTTCACTTCGAGCACTAGGCTGGCTGTAAATCACCTTCTTACTCGAAGTCCTGTGAACAAGCCAGAAGACGGAGACACTCAGCCATGTAGGCTCTTATTAACCTCTCCTTGCCAACTTTAAAGGCCAGAACCGAGACTGCTACAGAAGCACAGAGTGAGCAGCAGAAAGGTATGGGCCAGGGGAGATAGGACAGGCCCAGGGCCAAGGCCACAGAGAAAAGGCTGGATATCCAGATGCCTTCCCTCCAAATTGGTTGCTTCTGCCTTCAATTCATTCCCCCAGGCCCACCTCAGCTTCAAACCACATGCATCCATGCTCTCAAACTCGGAGAACCCCAGGTCAGCACCTCACTCACCCTTTCTTTGCTCCTGAAAGAGAAGAAACGGGATCGTGAGTGTCAGCAGGACAGAAGACAGCACAGCTAAGGAAGATGAAGGAGCTGGCCCACAGCTCTTGGTGTGTGTTAGACGGGTGATCAGTGCTCCCCAGGGGACAACACCCGCACACATGAGCGCAGTATCAGGGTCAGCACTCAGATGACACCATGCCAGCCCCCGGGAAAGGGACGGACAAAGGAGAGCCTCTGGGAGCAGATACTTACTGTGAAAGTAGCCTCGGCTATAGGCAAACCAGATGCCAAAAATCAAGATTCCCAGGAGAATCAGGGTTACAAGGACAGCTGCCACGATGGCCCCCACATTCAGCTCCACTGTGAGACACAAACCAGAAGTCAGGCACCAGAATACTCACGGTACCAACAGTGTCGCCAACGGCAGGAGGAAAAGCAGACCCCGACCCCCACCCCAGGTCTGGGCTCAAGCCCCAACTCTCTCACCAGCTTCCATGCGCACAGCATTTGATTTCACTGCTGTCCCAAACCCATTCTCTGCCTGACAACTGTATTCTCCAGTATCAGAGGCTGACACGGGATCAAAGACCTGAAGGGAGGAAAACAAATTGGCTTCCTGCTTGAAGAAGCAAGTGCCCATTTTTTTACATATCCTGACCCCAATTCCAAGTTCACCCTGTTGCTTGTTCTTTCTTCCTCCTACCTTTTGGGGTTCTATAACTGCATCCCCCACACATCTTTCACCACCGCCCCATCCATACCAGCTCTCCTGTCGTGGGATTAAGGTTATAGGAAGAGTTGCTGAAGGCACGGCTGGTCTTGGGATTGGCAGGCATCTCTATGCCATCTCTGTACCAGGTGTATTTAGACGGTGGGGAACCATCTTGTTCTGAGCATGTCAGCACTGCTCGGTTCCCAATGGTGGCAGAGGAGGGGATGCTAACTGTAGGCTTGGATGGAGGCACTATGGAGGAGAAAGACAGAAGGTGCTGAGTACAGGGTGGGGGCTGCTTGAGTCCAAGAAACCAACTAGAATGGTACCCCCATCTACTCCACTTGAGCCTCCCACCCTCACCATGCCCCCAGTTGCCACCTAACCAGGGGATCATCCCCTCTCTAGCAGCTCCAGGAGTCCAAATAGCCCCACCCATGGGCATTCTCACCATCAATGAGCTCCAAAGCTCAGCAGAGCCTGCTACAGGTTACGGAAGTAACTAACTCCATGCCCACCCAGAAGCCACAGGGCACGTACCAAGCACGATGAGCTTGACCTTGACCTCCCCATAGCTGTTGCCGCCTTCCTCAGAGACCATACAAGTGTATGTCCCGGTGTCTTCCCGTGTTACGGATTTGAAGGTGATACCACTTGATGAGAAGGTCACTCGGTTCTCATAGGAAGCTACCACAAGAGGAGGCAAGGGCAGGGACAGAGTGAACTGGAGAGCTAAGGGAACACAGTGCTCTCTTCTTCCCCTAGAAAGGGGCATGGGAAGGCCATGGGGACTTGAGCCCCAGGGTGTGCCCTGGGATAAGGCACAAAGCCTGGAGCATAGAATCCCTCCACAACCGAGGCAGTCAGGAAGGAGAAGCAACTCACCTGTGATCTTGCTGTTATAGCAAACAAGTCTGGTGGTATCTCCATGATCAAACTTCCACTCCACACGGGGAGAAGAAAAGCCCGAGTAGGTACAGGACAACTTGACAGCTGCAGACAGGGTCAAAGTGAGCCGGAGGAGGAAGCGGCAGCAAATACACAAGATGGGGAACAGCCCCAAACCAAAGGCTGTGCTAGATGCTCTCTAGGTCCCCAGGCGGCTGGCAACTGCTCACCCTCATGCCCTCTAGAGACACCCTCCCCAGCCCCTCCCAACTCACCATTATTCTCAGGAATTCTGACTTCAGGTTCAGAAGTGTGCACTGTACCACTGCCCAATGCCAGGGAGCCTGAGGAGAAAGAGGTGGGCCCCGTCAGGAGTAGACAGAGAAATGCCACAGAGAGCGAGGCACAGACCCAGCAGACAGGGCTTCTCCATTCATAGACCCTACGAGGAAGGGATTCCAGACTCAAGCTCCACCTGGCTCTCACACTTTATCACCATGATCTTAAACATCTTTAAGTGCTTTTTGCTACAATTGCAGGCTAATACTTCTTTTATCAATGGAACTCTCTCAAATGCAGTTGCTTTTGCTTCTAATTTTTCTCTGTGACTTCCAATAATCTAATTAGATTTCCACTAGTCCAAGGGCAGCTTCCAGAATGAGATTTTATGGTTCAGAGAAAGCTTCTCAAATGATTGCAGCCACTTGTCTAGACAATCCTGGAAGGAAGCCAGCAGGGCTGGAAGCCAAGGAGGGAAGGGAAGGGCAGAGCCGTAATGAGGATAATAATAATACTTGACATTTGTAGAGCATTTGGTGCTTTTTAACGTGTTTTCGCGTTCATTATGACACATTGCATCATTTGATCCTGGAAGCAAGCATGACAGATCGTCAGGACGCATATTATTATCCCAAGTTTACATAAGAAACTGAGAGTAAAAGAAGTTGTGCCAGCCGGGCGCGGTGGCTAAAGCCTGTAATCCCAGCACTTCGGGAGGCCGAGGCGGGTGGATCACAAAGTCAAGAGATCAAGACCATCCTGGTCAACATGGTGAAACCCCGTCTCTACTAAAAATACAAAAAATTAGCTGGGCGTGGTGGCGCATACCTGTAATCCCAGCTACTCAGGAGGCTGAAGCAGGAGAATTGCCTGAACCCAGGAGGCAGAGGTTGCGGTGAGCGAAGATCGCGACATTGCACTCCAGCCTGGGTAACAAGAGTGAAACTCCGTCTCAAAAAAAAAAAAAAAGAAGAAGTTGTGCCTAAAATCACATAGCTGGGGCCGGGCGTGGTGGCTCATGCCTGTAATCCCAGCACTTTGGGAGGCTGAGGCAGGTGGATCACCAGGTCAAGAGTTCAAGACCAGCCTGGCCAATATGATGAAACCCTGTCTCTACTAATAATACAAAAATCAGCTGGGCATCGTGGTGCATGCCTGTAGTCCCAGCTACTTGGGAGGCTGAGGCAGAAGAGTCGCTTGAACCTGGGAGGCGGAGGTTGCAGTGAGCCGAGATCATACCACTGCACTCCAGCCTAGGCAACAGAGAGAGACTCTGTCTCAAAAACAAAAACAAAAATCACATAGCTGGTTCTGAAGTGAAGCTTGGACTAGAAGTGGGCTAAGATCACCTCATTAGAATCTCCTACTTGCCAAATGGAGAAAGAGAAGAAAAGTTCACGTGTGCTGGATGGAGGGAGGGAGGAGCAATGAGGCTAATTAAATAATACGGGGTAGGTACATCAGAGTTCACAGATGGGGCCCATGAGGGTCAAATTAAGAACCAGTGACCAGGGACTCTGAGATCACATGATGGAGCTACAAACCTGCACTTATACAATTATTCTCATTCATGTTTGCAAAGTCAAATTCATGAAATACGCTTTTATTTACAGCTTCAAGTCAGGGCCCTGTCTTAGATAAATGCTTGTAGAATGCAAGCACATCTGTTAAATTCAAGTACATTTTTTCTTAATTATGAAAATAACTGAATATGGTCTTTTGTCCTCTGAGACTCCCCTTGCTCTCTGAAATATCAAATAGATGTGCTCTAAAGTCCTTTAGGTTCTTTTTTTTTCCCTTTGGCATTAATGTTTAGACAATATATTTGTATACATGTATTTCGATCTGATATAATAACACTATGAATTAGTCCAGATAAGTATTCTCTCTCCCATTTTATAGATAAGAAAATTAACTGTCTAAAAGGTTAAGTGGTTGGCCCAAGGTTTCATGGTAAGGAAATGGCAGAGATAAATTAGCACACCATGGCAGGGATCCTGAGGAGAAGGAAAGAGGTGGGCCCATCAGGAGTGGACAGAGAAATCCCATGGAGAGGGAGGAAGAGACCCAGTGGACAGGGGCTTCTCCATGCACAAACCCAAAGGGGAAGGGATTCCAAACTCGAGATATAGGTTATTCCTATATCCTTTTTTTTTTTTTAATCTTATTATACCCTTTTCTTTTCTTTCTTTCTTTTTGAGATGGAGTTTCACTCCTGTTGCCCAGGCTGGAATGCAATGCCATGATTTTCGCTCACTACAACCTCCGCCTCCTGGGTTCAAGTGATTCTCCTTCCTCAGCCTCCCAAACAGCTGAATTTATACCCATGTATACCCGCCACACCTGGGTAATTTTTGTATTTTTGGTAGAGATAGGGTTTCGTCATGTTGGCCAGGCTGGTCTCAAACTCCTGACCTCAAGTGATCCACCCACTTCAGCCTCCCAAAGTGCTGGGATTTCAGGCATGAAGCTAATTTTTTTTTTTAAGAGCTGGGGTCTTGCTCATTGCCCAGGCTGATCTGGAACTCCTGGCCTCAAGCAGTTCTCCTGCCTTGGACTTCCAACGTGCTGGGATTATAGATGTGAGCCATCACACCTGGCCATATAGCATGGTTTTCAAAAAAGAAGGGTATAGGGAAGGGTATAGGCCAGGTGTGGTGGCTCATGCCTATAATCCCAGTACTTTGGGAAGCCGAAGTGAGCAGATCACTTGAGGTCATGAGTTTGAGACCAGCCTGGCCACCATGGCAAAACCCCATCTCTGCTAAAAATACAAAAATTAGCTGGGCGTGGTGGCGGACACCTGTAATCCCAGCTACTCTGGAGGCTGAGGCTGGATAATTGCTTGAACCCAGGAGGCAGAGGTTGCAGTGAGCCGAGATTGTGCCACTGCACTCCAGCCTGGGTGATAGAGCAAGACTCCATCTCAAAAAAAAAAATAAAGAGATTTCTAATAAAGTGAGGGCATTAAAAAAAAAAAAAGGGTCGGGCTCGGTGGCTCACACCTGTAATCCCAGCACTTTGGGAAGCGGAGGCGGGCGGATCACCTGAGGTCGGGAGTTCAAGACCAGCCTGACCAATATGAAGAAACCCCATCTCTACTAAAAATACAAAATTAGCTGGGTGTGGTGGTTCGTGCCTGTAATTCCAGCTACTTGGGAGGCTGAGGCAGGAGAATCACTTGAATCCAGGAGGCAGAGGTTGCGTTGAACTGAGATTGTGCCATTGCACTTTAGGCTGGGCAACAAGAGGGAAACTCTGTCTCAAAAAAAAAAAAAGAGAGAGCAAGAGAAAAGAATAATGCTGATAATGAAACACCTTGATTCTTGCCCAAGTCAGCCTTCTCTGCTTTGAAAATGGGAACTTTCATTTTTAAAGATTTAAAATTTTCTTTAAATTTAAAGAGACCACACCCAGCCTCTTTCTTTTTTTTGATACAGTCTTGCTCTTTGGCCCAGGCTGGAGTGCAGTGGCACCATCTCAGCTTACTGCAACCTCTGCATTCCAGGTTCAAGTGATTCTTGACTACAGATGTGTGCCACCACACCCAGCTGATTTTTGTATTTTTAGTAGAGACATGGTTTCACCACATTGCCCAGGCTGGTCTCGAACTCCTGACGTAAAGTGATCTGCCTGCCTTGGCCTCCCAAAGTGCTAAATTTATGTGTGAGCCACCGCATCCAGCCAGAGATTCTTAAATTTTACAATTTGCCATCTGTTGATGTTCCCCTGAGGCTCAAATCAGATCTCTCTTCACAAATGAAGCACTTATTGTCCTGGCTGCTGGCAGTGCTACCAGAACAAGGCCCTCAGCTCTCAGCCCTGTGTGAAAATGGCTAGAAAACTGCCTTGCCTAATGTCCAGCCTCCTATCAGGTGCAGGGGAAAGGGCAGCCAGCACCCAGTGCTTGATCGATGAGAGAAGGTGGGGAGCATAAGTCCAGATCCATCGTCCAACTCCCCAACTTGGGACAAATTAAAGGGGCACTTCTGTTCCAGAGCTGTCTGTGGGATAGGCTGAGACCTCACCGGGACTACAACACAAACTTGGCCCCTCCCTCTGTCCAATCTTGCTTCCTTCCCCTCCTTTCCACGGGCGTGGATCCCAAGAGTACTCCCTAATAAATGTCTTATATGATTACTGACATCTCAGAGTCAGCTTCCCAAGAACCCAACCTATGACACCACCCAAATAAATAGCAGCATCTAATTAGACTAAAAACTAGCCTTTGAAACAAAGACACATATACACACAAATCACAACATATGAATTTGATGGTTGTTCCTCCATCACTTCTGGCTTTAGCTAAAGTGCTCTATTGAATCCTCTCAGATCATCAGATCTAAAACACATCCACAGCACAAATATACACAAACACATTGGGCTACAGACATATTCCCTTTAGTTCATTAATCCTCACTGCCATCACCTGGTCTGGGCTTCTGTTCTTTTGTTTCAAATACACGAACCTCGACCTTAGTGTCCTCTCACCTACCTCTGTTGCAGGATTACCTATGTCTGCCTGTGGCCTGACTGTGCCAATACTCCCAAGTCTACTGTGACTGCCTACCATCGCATCATGAGTCAAGGCCAGCCTTACCACCATGCCCTTTCCAGGACACCTCAGCCATCCTGGTCCAAACACCCTTCTCGTTCTTGAACAGGCCTCTGGAACCAGACTGCCTGCATTCAAATCCTCGCTCTGGGCCAGGCACAGTGGCTCACACTTGTAATCCCAGCACTTTGGGAAGCCAGGGCGGGCAGATCATGAGGTCAAGATATCAAGACCATCCTGGCTAACATGGTGAAACCTCGTCTCTACTGAAAATACAAAATTTGCTGGGCATGGTGGCCTATAGTCCCGACTACTTGGGAGGCTGAGCTAGAAGGATCACTTGAACCTGGAAGGTGGAGGTTGCAGTGAGCCGATCATACCATTGCATTCCAGCCTGGGCAACAGAGCAAGACTCTGTCTCAAGAAAACAAAAAAAGCGGCTGGGTGTGGTGGCTCACACCTGTAATCTCAGCACTTTGGGAGGCCAAGGCGGGAGGATCACCTGAGGTC